CTTGTGTCGCTAAAGTTTCATCAGAAAGAATTTTTTACGGAAAATTAACTAACGAACGGAGGCGTAACAATATAAATAGCTCTTATATAGAACGTAACTACGCACGAAAGGTAGTGTTCATAAGAAAACGCATTACAAACAAAAAATATTTAGAGACAGCCTATCCACCAATAGCGCGTTACATAACACAAGAACCTGGAGATTGAAAACGTACCTTTTATAGACTTACAAAATAAACTTAGAAAATATAGAAGAATCTATATTATAGTACCCACAACAGATTAGAAACCCTTTCTCTTTCTTCTATCATATTCTCGCACGTGAGGAATGTTTCCTCGGAAGAAAAAAATGTCCCCGATTCCAAGAAATTGCCCGAAAATGCCCTTACATTTACCTTTTTTTTAAATTTTTATGAAGTCTGCAACAGGAATACATTAAAAATGAACATTCTACCAGTTTTATTATTATTAGCTTAAGGTTAGCATAATCATGTCACGACACCGGAGCAGCCTCCAGCTACGACCTTAAACATGTCATACAACATTTTCTTGTTTGTTTTTTTTTTAGAACAAAATCCTAAAATAGATACATTCATCAGAGAAATACAGACAGAATGAATACAAAAAAAAAGTTTTTACAGTACTGCATGCATCTAGAATTATTGTAACTACAGGTCCAAATTTTGTATAAAATATAGCCGGTTTAGGCTTATAAAATATGATCACCTTACCCAAATAAACGTGTCTGTATACATGGGCCTAAACTTAGGGAACTCATGTTTTATGAGTAGGCAAGTTGCCAACAGACACCACGACAAGCACAGACTTGACAAAACAGTGCTAATACTACTGCTATTCTGAATGATAGTAAAATTCGCTTAAAATATGAAATTATGATAATAAATAACCGATATTTTAAATAATTAATATTAGGTTACTAATACTTACCCTAATTCTGATTTGAATATGACTTAAATAAAAATTGATAATAAGTTTAATTCAATTATTTAATCTAATTTACACCCTAACGGTTATGGTTCATGTAATCTATTATTACAAATACCGCCTGTTGTATCGCAGGCGCTAGCTAGTGAAAGTGGGTTTTCTCGGGACACTCCCGTTTCCCCCTACATCTAATTTTAGGCATCCGATTTATAGATCCCCCACCGTCTTGAAGGACCATAAGGCCCACATCGGGCGTTGTTTTTGTGTTGAGTTGTACTATCCGTCCCTGGTTTCCTCTCTGCTTCTTGCTAGCCACCTATCTATTAGCCATCACGTGATCCTTTTTTTCCCCCCAACATTAGTTTTCTGAACACCTTGGTTTCGTCAATCCCAAACCCTTGGTGTGGGTTTGAACGTTTTAAATCTATAATTTCTATCATGTTTTTTGGTTTGGTTTTATCCCAGTCGGCCCGATAATCCATAGTATTGAGCGTAAGGCCTCGTCGGCACTGGATATGGCAGATGTAGTGTGGTTGACATATTATTCTTTTTTTCGCTCATATGTTCTTAGAATTGCTATACTACAAACGTAAAGGACAGAGCTCAAAACTTTGTCACGCAAAATTAGAGTCAGTGAACAATATTTTTTCAATTATTTAAAGGTCCAACGACAGTAAAAAAGTTGTTCATATCGTCACGAGAAATGTGTCTTAGACGAAATACATTCTATTTTTCTATTGCTTGTATATTTGTTGATAAAATTTTATTTACCTTAATTTTTCGTTCTTTCATAGTCCCCCCCCCCCAGTGGCACAGCGGCATGTCTGCGGACTTACAACGCTAGAAACCGGGTTTCGATACCTGTGGTGGGCAGAGCACAGATAGCCCATTGTGTAGCTTTGTGCTTAACTTCAAACAAACTTTCATACTTCTATTTTTTATTCCGAAAACACTTATGAAATTCTTTCCAAAACTTAATATATTTTTTTCTCTTACGCTAATACAGCGCCGCCTACCTCACTAAGACTATAATATAACAAACGATATTTATATCTATGAATATTATGACCTAATTATTTATTTTCGTGCAGTTCCATTTTGTGCTCTTCCGTTATTTCATTATTTCGTCTTAATTTATACATACTTTCACTCAGTAGTTGTATTTTTATTTTATCAATTCCTTATTTCACTTCTCTTCGAGTACTTTAGAAAAAAAAATGTAAATAAATAACCTACATCCAGCATTGCTGGAAATAATAATGACAAAGATGAGGAAAAATGCTACGGGAGAATCACCCCTTTATCGTGTGAAAATGAACTGCACCAGAATACTGTCACGTTCCGATAGTTTACACTGTATTTGATTGTCATCCAACCAATCAGAAAGTGGTACACCAGTATAAAGCCTGTAAAAGTACAAGCAGTCATGACAGAAATGTAAAATAGTTTCAGAAAAAAACAACAACAAACAAACAACTGACCGTCTCATCCGGTTCGAAATATAAATATTAACTGTTACTCTGCAGCTGCTTTATTTTGTTGTTCAGA